TTAAACACAAATTTCTATATTTTCAAATTGAAAAATTTCTAAGCTTCTAAATTGTCAAATTTCCAAGTTAGCAAATACACATGTTACGTTATTGTTTATTTCTTTTGAATATAGCGCTACATTGTGAGATAACTCTAACTTTGAATTTATTCATTAAGTAGGACGATGGTTTAGATGGCAATGAGAAACAATTATGCAACGAGTTTGCATTCTAGTTTTATTTAAAATTGACGCGCTGTGTTTGAATTGGTTTTGTTTCTTGAGTTTGAAAGCCGCATTTGAAATTGTATTTTTAAGCTAGAATAAAAATTTCGACTAAGAATAAATATTTGTTGTAAATCAATTAATTCAAAAACAAGATTCAAAAACAAGCCGGGAAAAGGAGAAGAAGCTCAAAATTTAAAGGTCTCACAAGCAGAGTGATTTCAAGGGCAAAAAATTCATTCTTTCGTTTACAAAAGACCGCGCCAGAACGTAACACGAAAATTCTCAAATTCTTAAATTTTGAAATTTTTAAAGCTGAACATGTCTAGTTTATTTTTTTTCTTTCTATGTATATATTTTGCTCTGCTGCATATATAACCGGCAATATTGAATGCGTTGTAACGCAAGCGTACTTGTTATCATCCTGAATATAGTCATTGTAGTATGGCAACACGACCGTGAGGATATTTACAGAGCGCGTCTGTACTTTGTTATATCGATGACCATAAATTAAGAGCGAAATTTAAACTATCTGAGCGTGCAATCATGTACAATAGACAAAGCTTATATTGTTAAAGCCACTCGACGTGGGTGTTCATGCTTGGGAAAGTTTGGGAATCCAGAGAATAAACGTAGCTTCACTTTGAATGTTTGTAGAGATTAATTTATTAGGGACCGTATCGAATATGTTGTTTTCGACTAAGTCGCGTACAGTTCTTGAAAGTTTCAAGATCTCCTACGAATATCCTGTCTTTTCATGCACTCGAAGAGGGTCGTAAATTTTCGCCTAATACAAGGACTTTGTTTTCGCGTTCTCTGGGTCTCACGCTTTCTCTACGCACATGTTCAATGTTACGTTCCCGCGTCTTGGCGGAGCCTCCACCACCACGCGGCTGAGGGTGGACCACAGCCAGGAGAAGGGGCCCACATCGGACGGGGGTGGACTCCTCCACCATTGGACAAGGGATGATCCTGAGGGAGGATCCAGGATCCAGCGAGGAAGGGGCATCGATCCGCATCACCCGAAGATCTCCTCCGCCAAGCGCAGAACGATCAGACTAATTTTGTATTTCATACGCTCCAGTTCGCTCTTATAAAAAGTACTTTGACAATTATCTGAATAAATAGTTGGACTTAGTCGTTTTCCATCTTAAATCCGAAGGCTTTAAACCCTGCAGAAATAAATTATTCAACGATTGAGAAGGAACTCTTAGCTGTCCTATACGATGTACAACATTTTCGACCTTACCTGTATGGCCGACAGTTTACATTGGTTACTGACCACAGGCCCCTAGTATGGTTGCACAGTATCAAAGATCCCACATCCAAACTGCTTAGGTGGCGTATTAAATTGAACAAATATGATTACAATGTAGTAATAAACCAGGGAGAGTAAACGCTAATGCCAATGCTCTTTCGCGGAATCCCGTTGACCCCGCTGAAAATCCTATTCCTTATCTACGACCTGTACAGCGTACCATAAAACCCAATCACAACCCGGAACATCTAGAGGAGGTGCTCACCTGCATGGTTGAGACTCCTATTGCAAACCCTGAGACGGACGAAAAGAATGAGACATTATGCTTTAGGAATGAAGTAATGGTGGCTTCTGCATTCCTGGCGCGCGGGAAAGCAGAAACCGAATTAATTGATGTTGTTCAAGGATTTTCCGACTCAGATACCTGTGTGTCTGAGGCGCAATCAAGGTCGCCACGAATGAATAGTGATCCCATGGAGTGTATGGTTCCGCCGTCACACCAAACAGGGGATTCGGGTGAGTGTGCGATGCCGGCGTCACCCCGTCCTGCGTTGTTGGGTGAACTGCCGATGAGACCACTGCGAACAGGAGATTCGAGTGGACACGTGAAACTACCACCTCGGACGGTAAAGTCAGGTGGGCACGTGGAAGAGTTGAGTTGTATTGAGAGTGTGAATGTTGTGGCTGGCGATCTGATTTGTGCAAGGAAACCTTGTAGAGGAATAACCCTGACAGAAATACCTGTAGAGAAAAGAGTAACAATAGATGTTAACAGTGATGGAATTAACGAGACCAGACTTTTGATTAATAGTGTAGATGAAACAACAGACGGACATATAGTACCTTTCCCTGCTCCACCCGCTGTAGTTTGTGTAGATGAAAATCTTTTCGTGCGACGAGATAATCTCGCCCATTTTATCCCATTAACCGGTGACGATAATTCCCAAACCACCAAAGGCTTGCTAAGCAGAATCGAATGTTCCCCCGAACAGATCCAACAGTACCAAATTGAAGTCAGTAACGCCATGGCCTTTCCTCATGATAGATACTCTGTCTTCCTCTTATTTTACAAGAGTGAATCCCAAAGCGAATTTGATCTTGGACACGTCGAATCTTCATTGAAGTCCCTCAAATCCCTTCTTGCCACCTTGAATTCAGAAACTTTTAGTCTCTTATTAGACCCGGATAGATTCAATGGCTCCGAGCGAAATAGCGTAATAAACCTACTGAAACAAACCTTTGCTGACCCGAAATATAGAATCACCGTGTGCACCGAAGAAGTTATTATCCCACCTGAGTCGAGTCGTCTTCGTATTATCCAAGAATACCATGAATCTGTGGTTGGAGGCCACAGAGGTATCTTTAAATTACTCCAGCTCCTCCGGCAACGATTTTATTGGCCAGGCATGGCAAAAGAAATCACGGAATTTGTCCGATCCTGTTCAACCTGCCAAAGAAATAAAAATTATTGTGCAAAAACCAGACAACCTATGCAAATCACTGATACACCGCAAAGAGCCTTTGAGAAGGTGCAGATGGATATTGTAGGACCCTTACCCAGAACTACCAGAGGAAATCAATATCTGCTTACCATACAGGACAACCTTACGAAATATTCAGATGCAATTCCCATAAAATCCATGGATGCAGTAACGATTGCCCTTGCACTTGCTGAGCAATTTATCAGTAGATTTGGTTGCCCAAGAGTAATACACACAGATCAGGGAAGAAACTTCGTTAGTCGTATAATGAAACACTTCTGTAAAATCTTCAAAATCCAAACTATAACTTCCACAGCGTTTCATCCCCAATCATTAGGTTCGCTCGAAAGGGCACATCGCAGTCTTATTAATTACCTAAAGATATATTGCACGAAAACAGACTGGGATGACTGGGTGAGGTTCTGCATCTTTTCGTATAACACCTCAGTGCATGAAGCCACTGGGTTCTCTCCACACGAATTAGTCTTTGGCACCAAGGCCAACATACCCTCGGAATTTGCCACAAGACCAGCACCCCGAACATTCGTACAATATTTTGATGATCTTCTTGCCAGAATCACCACCACACAGACCATCGCTGCACAAAATCTGGAAAAAGCAAAACAGAGAAGCAAAGCTTATTATGACCAAACGCTTAATCCGCGCACGTTCGAAATAAACGATCTTGTATATCTACTCAAAGAACCTCGAACCTCAAAATTCGACTGCGATTGGCTGGGTCCTTACAAAATAAATCGAAAGTTTAATGATTTAACTATGGAATTAGAAATAGGGAAAAATAAATTTAAGATTGTTCATGCAAACAAACTCAAATCAGCGCATATTAGACCAGAGGCTATCACTGACAGAAATTCAGATTAAATTAATAAAGTTTGCTACTCCGTTCATACCTTTGTACACATGTGCTCATATTGTATTCGCGTAATTGGAATACTGCTAAATATAGTCTAGACTCTGTCACTATGTACATGGATCTGCTTAAACTGGTATGGTTATGTTCGTTGCAACTTGTATGATAATTGGAGACTGTTAAGCATCTCGTTGCTCGTATTTGTGACACGTATGTAATAAAATACCTTGGATGTTAGATAGACTTAACTGTTGCTCACCTTTTGTATGAACTTTGTATGAGAAAAGCACCATATAATGTTAATATTGTATATGCAACTAATATTAAGGCGTATGGATATAGAAAAGCTGTTTCATGGAAACACCTTTTTAAATAAGGGGGGAGGAGTAACGCAAGCGTACTTGTTATCATCCTGAATATAGTCATTGTAGTATGGCAACACGACCGTGAGGATATTTACAGAGCGCGTCTGTACTTTGTTATATCGATGACCATAAATTAAGAGCGAAATTTAAACTATCTGAGCGTGCAATCATGTACAATAGACAAAGCTTATATTGTTAAAGCCACTCGACGTGGGTGTTCATGCTTGGGAAAGTTTGGGAATCCAGAGAATAAACGTAGCTTCACTTTGAATGTTTGTAGAGATTAATTTATTAGGGACCGTATCGAATATGTTGTTTTCGACTAAGTCGCGTACAGTTCTTGAAAGTTTCAAGATCTCCTACGAATATCCTGTCTTTTCATGCACTCGAAGAGGGTCGTAAATTTTCGCCCAGTACAAGGACTTTGTTTTCGCGTTTCTCTGGGTCCCACGCTTTCTCTAAGCACATGTTCAATGTTACGTTCCCGCGTCTTGGCGGAGCCTCCACCACCACGCGGCTGAGGGTGGACCACAGCCAGGAGAAGGGGCCCACATCGGACGGGGGTGGACTCCTCCACCATTGCACAAGGGATGATCCTGAGGGAGGATCCAGGATCCAGCGAGGAAGGGGCATCGATCCGCATCACCCGAAGATCTCCTCCGCCAAGCGCAGAACGATCAGACTAATTTTGTATTTCATACGCTCCAGTTGGATCCAGGATCCAGCGAGGAAGGGGCATCGATCCGCATCACCCGAAGATCTCCTCCGCCAAGCGCAGAACGATCAGACTAATTTTGTATTCCTTACGCACCAGTTCGCTTTGTAAAAAGTACGTTGATAATTTTCTAAATAAATAGTTGGACTTAGTCGTTTTCCATCTTAAATCCGTCTCGAATCATTACTGCACACCGCGAGCAGAGCGCCTCAGCGCTCCACGGGTTAACTTACCCACATCCCAAAATCCCTAGACCGCGGACGGTAAACGCAACAGCGTATAGTAGTGGGACAACATCAAATGTTTGAAAACCTGCTGAAGTTAGCCGCTTTTTGCGAATTGAATATGATCTGTTGCACGAAATATATGTACTAATATTTTAAAGTATAAAACGATTGCTTAAACATAGTATTCGGCGTATTTAAAAAAATATTGCAGTATAACTGAAAATTCACTAACAAAATTTTATCCAATAGGAGGAATGTATTTAAATTATTTGCCAATTGCAAGAACTCGATTTCTTCTCTAAAATCTTGTCACTATAAACTTGGTTACGAACTCCTGCAGCTGTCGTGATGCACTATGGGATGTTGGGTTGTGCTTGGCTCCAATACAAGATGGCTGACACTTGTTAGTAGTGTATTTTCGTTTTATCGAATGTGCATTTTATAAAAAATTCAGTGCCTTCATATCCACGTAAGGTGCATGCACGTTTACCTAACTAGTACAGAAGCTGTCTTCCTTTTTTTACCGAATTGTTCTCTTATCATGTATTATCAGGAGACATCAAAATGTATCGTGAAAGTGCTAAAGGCAGAATAATTACCCGTCACCAGCCATGTTCATATGTGTTCTTTTATTATGACAATTGTGATATAATTCTCGTGGAATATAGTGCCAAGGTGAAGTGATATCTCGCGTTATTACGCTTCTATTTCATCGCTGGTGTTTCGTATAAGATTCGTTACCACTACGAAATAGATTAAATGAAAGGTACGTATTTACTCTATCCTCTTTGGAACGCCTATTCGCGAGTCATTCTTCAAACCTTACATCTGTGTATTTTCGTTTTTTTTCGATTGTCTTTTTTTCTTTTAGTTTATGTTTACAATGTAAGTACAAGAACTGACTGACCTATTAACCTGTTATATTAAATAACGTGATGTCATGTATGATTTCGCAGTCTCTCTTTGACATATTCTGTGAACCTTAATTGCTGTCACACGTTGTTTTAGATTTTCATTGAATTCTATAACTTTTAGTTATGTATTATTTTGTTATCGTTGTTAATACTGAACGAATAATATAAACGAAATTTTAGTCTTTAATATCTGATTGATATAAAAATTCGATTGTTTATATCATTGGGACAAAAAAGTGGTTTGATTCAGGGTAGAGAATAGGTAAACTAAACATGGCAGTAACATTAATATTGAAATTTAGTTGCAACGTATTTAAGTATTATAATTTAATTTGTTGAAAGAACAGTTGAAATTTACATTTTTTAACATTATTAAAAAATTTCAACTGTTCTTTCAACAAATTAAATTATATTAAAAAATAATTTTTAACATTATTGACTACGTAATGATTGCATTAAATTTATGAATTTTATATATAATGGTTGTTAAGTATTTATTATATACTTGCCCGAAAGTGCTCCATCCTCCATCACAATCACCGGATTTAAGTCCAATGGAAAATCTATGGGACTTATTGGATCGTAATGTTAAGACCACCCCTATAGAAACAAAAGACGAATTAGAAAATGCGACTGACAGAAGAGTGGAAACGCATTACTTAAAATTATTTAAATAAAATAATTTCAAACATGCCAACACGTTTGTAACACGTCATGTGACAAAAGGGATGTCCCAAAAAATATTAAATTAATATTAAAATTATAACTTTGTTGTTACATACACTCTAAATAAGAAAAAACTTTATGTAATATTAAGTGTCCGAATATTTTTTCGACGTCAATATCGGGTCTAATTTCGTTTATAATTTATTATATGGAAAAGAATAAAAAATAAAGTATTTAATTTTACATATTTGTAAACTAAAATATGTGCTCTAACTCATTACAGATCTGAAAATTCGATAATCACATTGCAAGTGAGTACATAAACGTTTAATTTCGCAAATACCATAGTATCCGAATATTAAATCGAGTAACTGTATGTACATTTTGCTTGTATTCGCTAGACAGATTTCCGTTGGATGTGTTCTTAAAATATTTCGGTCGGATAAGGGTTAAATATGCATCTATTATAGTAGACCAGTCTTATGTTATTTCAAAAGTATCTAGAACATTCTTGAATATTGCTTGATACGATTACAATTTTTTTCTTTCTAAGAACAAAATAAAGTAAAATTTTACTTTGCGAGGAATTGTTAATTCTGTCTTATTGCAGATGTTGTAATAAATATTCGTAATTATGTAGCGTCAAGTAGTTCAATAAAGTTGATGTTAAATTTATATATTGGTATATTTGATTTTTCTTTATTTTATTAAAAACAAAATAATGGTTGAGGAAAAAATGAACTATTTTTAGAAGTCAATTGAATACTAGATGATACTATGGGTCTTTTTTATTCTTTAATAAAAATGTTAAACTAATGAAGGTTATTTTTTCTATTTACATTTAATAACAAGAAATTGAATTGCAAGTTTTCATTAATTACCATTGCCGAAATAAAATTCTGTATTTTTAGTTTATATAATTTCTGTTTTAAAAGAATGAATTAAATCCTGATACAATTATTTTTTCCTCAATATACATTACAGTATATTGAAATGAGAATACTAAATGTAGTGTGCATTTCCCACTGAAATAATTATTAGTATTTATTTTTTGCTATTGAAGTATTAATTAGGTGAGTAAATAGAAAATTGGATTTCTTAACCTAATTTGGTTGATTATTTTCAATACTGTTTTTCTGAATTTATTTGAGGTAAAAATAATTTTAAATAATAAACAATTTTGCTACTTCTTGATTGCAAGAAGATATAAATATTAATACAATACAACTGAAGCTTTCATTTCTGAGAATTTTGATAGTAACCTTTGTTTGGTAGTCTCAAATTTACTTAATCGCCGAAGATAATACTGCAAAAAGATATCAAGGAAAATCTGATTCATTCGAATAAGTAAATCGGATATATTCTTTCGATATTTTTAACTGGTACTAACAAGGAATGAGAAACAGTAATTTTCACTGCAACTTTTGATTTCTATTTGTGCCGAGTTGGTTGTATATAACTTGTGGTGTTCTATGTGTATTTGCGTATGAAAGTAAGTTTTTGGAGTAGCAAAGTTAGTCAGAATTATACAAAATTTATACGATGAACTGCAAAAAAAATATAAAATAAATCGTAAAAAATCATTTATTTCTTCCTGGTTAAAACTTTTTATATTATAAAATTCAGTAGTGCAGAAAACGTGATAATAAGTACGTTTTTGTATTTATAGTACTACTATGTTATAACCTTTTTTTTGTTATTCTCTTATCTTTCTTGTACTGCTATGTATAATTTATAATCAGACATATTGAAATTTAATTTAACATTATGGACTTTAAGACGTCATTGTCATAGATTTTTGTAATTAAAAAATATCATTGTACGGAGTGGCAAAAATTTTAGAACCGATTCTCAAAAAAAAAGTACAATGAAGAAGTGGTGCTACTGATAATGCGTATAATATCGATGTTTTATTAGTATTTAAAAATGTATTGATGCTATTGTTAAGATACTGTTAGAGCTAATAGAAATGACTGAGACAGAATGCAACGCATAATTTTACTATTCAGATCCATTTATTTTTGTTTAAATTTCAAATTTAACCTAACCTAAGATATGTTATTTTATCATTCATATCTAATTATTCTTGTTTAAACTTTGGATATAGTATAACCTTAAATAAGAATTGGTTCTTGAAATCAAATCTATTAGATTTCATTAGATTATATTAGATTATATTAAGTTAGATTAGGTCAGGTTACTTTAAATTAGATTAAGTTGAATTAATTTAGGTTAAATTAAATTAAAGGTATTGTTAGGTTAGATTAAGATTAGGTTAGCTTAACATAGGATTACGTTAAGTTAAAGTTAGGGTTAGACTAGGTTTGGTTAGGCTGTGTTAAGTTATTAGATAATTAGATTTGTTACAATGGCACATTATGTTGGCTTTAAGGATATTAACAATTTATCAAATTGTTAACAACATTTTAATATGTAGTGAATAAGAATAACTTATGTGAATTGTAACGTATAATTTTGCATTTATGAATAAAACAATTTCTAATATAAATTTCATGAATCTTCTTTAACGTTAGTTCAAACTATTTGCAGCCTAGAAACGAATAATTAAATCCGGTTAGGTTTGAAATTTAAACAGAAACCAACAGATTTAAACTATGAAGTTATGTACAGATTAGTTTAAGTTAAATTTAGTTTGTTAATTTGATAAGTTTAAATAAGAATTAATAGACTGAATGACAAACGTACTATTTACCTTAACAAAATCACTAAATTATCGATATATCGTTAGGTATTAATAAGATATTGATAATTTACGGATAATCAATAGCAACACTTATGCGATAACGATGAATTATATTCGCTAAGTTTTGGTTAGCATCGAATTAGTTTCAGATTCGAATTTGTAAAGTTTGATTAATTTGATGATATATTGATAAACGAATAAGTAGAAAATAACAGTGGATAAATTCTCTTCTATATTAAAAGTTTATTTAAATACAATTTATGTACAATTATAAATAACTTTCCACATATTGAAAAAATGAAACATTAAATTATAATTACAGAAGGCATTTTTTTATAATTCCATTCCTGATAAAATACGCATTTTATTTACGTTTGTTAAAGTACAAAAATTTCATGACATACTTATAACAGAATGCAACAAAAAGATAAATATGAGGATTAAAGTGATGTTTATTACATCAAAGAAATATTGTTCTATTTTCTTATGAGATACTATAGTCAATTCTTACAAATAAATAATATGGTATCTGTTTTTATATTTTTCAATTAAATATTAGGAATCATTAACAGCTACTAAATTTTGCTTTTCAAGAGAAAGAATACAAATTTGCTTTTCGACCTATTATAATTCTAAAACGTGTTTATTTAACATTGAAATATTACTGCAAAGTAAATTTGTAAGTCAGCAGTTTTTAAGAGTAGACATTTTACGTTTATAAAAACTTATTTCGAAAACAATATCATTACAATAATACGTCAATTTCCCTTGTGAGGATATTTATGTTGAAATTCACTAACTAATAACAACAAATACTTCGTTAATAATCGGATTAATTGAGAACCTCATGTATGAATTTGTTATTTACAGTATTAGCAAGCGAGTAGCACTCCCTAAAATATTATAAATTATAATACAATTTCTACAAGGCCCGTTTCTCAGTTCAGATAATAAAATTTTTAAGCGATTAAGCATTTTTAAGCATCAGCTTAATCAAGATCTGAAAAAATAAAAAGCTTTTGTCTGAATCATTTTCTTTTTAAATGTGTTTTTATTGACGATGGAATGGTCTTGAAAGTGTGATTCACGAACAGAGCAAGTCCGAACTAACTAAATAACCAGTTTTTTTTTTTTTATAAATGACAAAGTGTCGTTTGTTCTGATTTCTGACTATACAATTATTTTAATGCCGTACAAACAGGTATGTAAAACATGAAATTTTTGGCATCCCAGCAAGGCAATAAATACTAATTAAACACGATCGTGAAATATACGTTATTACAAGCTTCTGAAAGTAAACAGCCACGACAGACATAATCCCGCTGATAAGGGGACCATGATTATTTATTAGCTTCGTATGTGGTGAATGATCAAACATCCTGTATTCGTTAAGAAGTAATTATTCATCAAAGCGTAACAGTTGTTTCAATCGAAACACATTCTTTCTTTTTAATTTTCATTAAGTAATTAAATTGAAATTGT